TATTTTTTAATTAATGTATATAAAAATTAAAAAAAATTAACTTTATTTTTAATATTAATAGGACATATAAAATTTTAAATATACAACTTTTAAAATTAAAGTTAATTTTTATTTTTTATTAAAAATATAATTAATATATATAAGAATTTATAATTTAAATTACTGTACACTGTAAAAAAATAATAATAATAAGGGGGTGGGGGCAAAGTTTTTTGGGTTTTTGGCCATGAGAGCAGGGTATTCGGAAGACGTGTTTTTACTAGGTTTTACATAATTAAAGTACAATACTTTGTTTATCGAAAAAAAAAAAAGAGTAGAATACCTTTGGACACTGGAAACCGCAGGAGGCATTTTCCTTTGCTTGTAAATTTCTTTTAGCTGCTCATTTCACTTTTAGATTTGTCATTTATTTTGATTGCTGAAACATCGCAAGCAGATTTAAGATGGTTTCAGTCTGTTAGATGATAAGCTTTGTTGAGTGTACATATTATCTAGGTACTGTTACCAGATATGTGGTCACAGCTTGGAATTTTGGTATGCCATCTAAACCAAATTTCCTGAGTTCAGAATTTGCTATTTTTTGTTCATTCTCTTTTATTTATTTAATCCTGAAAATAGCTAAGATAGAGGAGGGTTTTTGGATTGGGCAGTCCATGTGGTAGTATTTGGAATGAAACATTGGATAAATGCTACATTGTTAAGCAAAATGGTATCTATAATGAAACCTGGGTGATATGTACGATCTTAGCTTTGAGGGCTTTAGTTATAGAGGAACGTTTGTTGGAACAATTTATTAGCTTCATGGGAGTTGTTCAACTTCTGCTTTTGCACCTGAAGAGAACTTATGATTTCAAAGTAAAACCCATAAGCTTACATAGAGCACTTGTACTTATGGAGTTAAAAGTACAATACACTGAAAATTGGAAGAATTAAACAATATAAATTTTTGTTAGGTGAATCTTGACTAATGTGTAATACATTTATCTAATTTATGGATTGTAGATGTGGATCTTAGGGAATCCAGTGAAGATTGAAGGTACTGGCTTCATTAATAAAGGGGCCATATATATCGGTAATCATGCAT